AAAGTACAAAATTTTTTTTAGATGGCTACTTCGTTTCGGGACTCCTAAGGTGATATTGTGAGGTACACAAAAGTTATCTACTTTTTTTTTACTCACATTAGGCAAAAAATGTTTCTGAACCTTGGAGTTTAACGAATAAATCGTCTTGGCTTGAATATTCGTTCCAGGAAATAAAACGGTAACTAGCTCAATATCAGCCTAAGAATAAGATCGCATTCAAAAATCATTATAAAAACATGATCGGGGATTGAATTAAAGACAAAGTCTTGTAATCCTATTTCGTAAATTTCTGACCGAATACAAGCGGGTAATACGGCTGAAGATGAATTAGCTCCTTACAAGTGTTACCAGCGCCCAAATGGCGGCACTCAATATCGTAAGTAACTCGCATCGAAGTTTGATTCGGAGATCACGGCATTCGATAGCGAGTGCGCTTCGACAAAATTTTAGTAGAGAGAAATCAGCTGCCATTTTATTCGATTCGATACGAAGCGAGTGATCATTCGACCACGAATGCCACAATTCGGTCTTAGTTTCTTAGCCTAAAGTTCAGTTTAAGATATTTAAAAAATATTGATATATATATTTAGTTGACAGTTTTATAAAAAATAACAAAAAGATTTGAAAATATCAAAAGCAAAAATTAATGAATCGTATTTGTCCAAAAGCGTAGTAGAAAATGTAAAAATACACAAAACCCTGAGTATCTATAAGGTGTGTTTGGCTGTAAGCGTATTTGTTTACCATTTCGGCAATTGCCATATATTTGGCAGTAAAAGGCAATGGGGCCTTTAGCCTCCCCTACACACCCTCTCTCCCGCTACACCCTTGCATGAATGTATTAATGTATGAACACAAGTGTGTGTGTAGAAAAGCTATTGACCCGCAAATAGCGAAGATGTCTGCTGATCACTTCGAATTCCTTAGCAATTTTTTATTTAAATTCTACTAAGTATTGTTAAGTACATACATTAGTATATGTACGTGTGTTTTTCCAACGCTTTTATCAACTTGCAATGTTGTATGTCCAGACACCTTTGCTATAATTATAGATTAGTATTTTACGCTCTTGTCTAATTTATATTCATTTCGGGTAATTTATTTTTTTTTGCGGCTGGTCTACAAAATGCTTGTTTTTTTTGGAATTTTTAACCTATTTTATTTATGTTTTCTTTTTACTTAATTTTGTGCAAAATAATTTGGTGAGCTACAAAAAGTGCTACAACTTTATCGGTGTTTTGTTTACAAAACACTTTGCTTTTAATGTTTTTTTAAATTTCTGCTTTTATATGGTTATATGCCACCATTGCGACTATAAATTAAATTTATTGAGTTATAATACAAACAGGCAATTTTTCAAATATTTAGACCACTTAAAAATCGAAATCATTAAAAAGCAACATAAACGCTGCTGTATACATATGTATGTTGTATATTGTAAACATGAATTCATGCTCGTTTAAAATCGATTTCGGAAAATTTCCAAAAATTAACTATAACACTTTAAAATGAAATGTGGGAATATGCCTGATCAACGTTCATCATAGTAAGGCTTATATAACGATTTCATTGCAGAACCAGCTACTAAGCTGAATTGGCCCTGCAATTACTTTACGAATATAGCAAAGTTCAATCCGGGAAGACCTAGTAAGGTCACGGGCTTCGTCTTCAGATTCCTTAATGCCGGGGAATTTTGTAATTTTCGGAGGAACTACCAACAACCGTTTGTCGATCTGTACAAACCAGCACACACTATGTCCAAGTCGTTAAAAAGCTTATACAGTCTGCCATTTTATCTTTCTCGGTACCCGTCGCCAATGCGTATGGGACCATAGATCTTCGTCATAGTTCGTGTGTCTGCATCGTATAAAAGGACGGGCGCAATGTGAGACTTGTGGAGCGGGGTCTTTTTCAGAATTTGAAGAACTGAAAATCGAATCAATGGTGGACTTTACAGGTCTGATGCCATACTGATAAGGTAAAATTAGTGGTTCAATAAAAGCTTCAGTCTTTGCCAAGGTATCGTCGATAGGATCTTTTTCGCGGTAAATAATTGGCACGGATTTCCCTTTTTGTGGATCGGCGAAGTACACTGAGATTATAATCTTTTAAATTCTGATTAAAAGCTGGTACATGCTTCCTATCAGCTTTTTGTCGCCACCTCTGAACGGCCCAGTCGTTATACCCTCTGCTTGGTTTTGTACCTTTGTACCTAAGCCGCATTATTGGTTTTCTCACCTCGGCTTGGCCAAGTGTAGGGACTTGGGCTTCGCCCTATATGTATGTATATTGCTTCGGGTTCCACTAAAAAGAAAATCTGTATTATAGTTCAGTCAGATTAGCTTGTTACAGTGTTGTGCTAAACGAAAGTAACAAATGCTATTACAATTTTGATTGTCATTTATGGAAAACAACATTGCCATTTAAGGACAAACTAAAAAAATTGCCTTAACAATAATGTACTAGCGTAGAGGAAATCGATATAGTTTAAGAATCTGGTTGCTTTGTTCGCCCGCAACAGTGTATGTACGACCACAAATGCCTCTCTCAGGCAGTAGTATGGTAAAGTTGAAAAGAATACATTCTATGTATAGTATATACATTTTACTCTTTTTTTTTTTTTGTTTGAAATCTGTTTTAAGATTTTCATTTTCAATGATTCCCGTTTCCACTTGACAGCAATGAGTTATTTTTCATGTTATAATATACAAAATATTTATCTTAGTTTATATTTAAAAGTAACCGCGCATTTCTGCCGCCAGCAGGCATTAAAAATTATTTACTGCATTCAACATTTCAGCAAATCGGTTTTTCACGTTTGATAAATATTGATTGCTGTTTCCAAAAATATTTATTAAGAGTAATGTGGAAATTGAAATTCTCCTACGGCAAAATCAATGAAATCCCAAAATGTTCATAGATAAATATTTACTTTCATTTTTCTATTAGAACGTTGAATAAATAACCAAAATTAATATTTTCGCAAAATTGAATTTATTCACAAAAAATATGTATTTAGTATTTATGTAGAAGTGAATAAGCAAATCAATTAAAGTGTTGTGTTAAAAGTAAATCAATCGTTCAAATGTTTCCAAAAACATTTTTGTTGCTCCGGAAATTTCAATTCTTATTAATTGATTCTTATTTGGCCACTTAAAATTGTGGGGGAGTAAATCTCATAGAGTTCTAGAAGTGGATAAATTTTTTAAAAAATTATTAATATGCATACTTATACATATGTAGAAAGTTTCTTTATACATTCTTTGATAATTTTTTCTTGAACGACTGAAACTAATTTAGTGCTGTAAGTCTATTCGAATTTTTTAAAGTTAAATCTGAAGACAATTGTAAATATGCTAACGAGGAGGTCTAAGCGGTATACCTTTTAGCAATAAGTTTTTAAAAAATTGAATTAAAAAAAATTATACCTATATATTTTTCTTTTTAAGGCCATAAAAATTAATAAAGAAAAAATTAAATTAAAAAAAGAAAAAATAGAGTTAATTAAATTTTTTTTCCTTTTAAAACAATAAAATATAAAAATTAGATTAGAACAAAAAAGTAAATCTATAAAGGTGAAAATAGTGCTTAAAAATAAAAAAAAAAGTTAAAAAAATATTTTTATTTTTGACTAAAAGAAAATTAAATTAAAAAAGACAAAAAATAAACTTAAAGCCCTAAAAAGCCCTAAAATTAAATTACATGAAACATATAGTTTGCTTTTTAAAACAATAAAATATGCAATCAAAAGAAAGTGAAATTAACAAAAGAAAAACAAATAAAACGAAGGAATATAAAAATAAGCTTCGAAAAATTAAATAAAAAAATAATTTTCTTTTTTAAGCAATAAAATCTTAAAATTTAACTAAAAAAGGAAAAAATAAAATAGTTCATAAAAATTAAATGCAATTAAAAAAATTTCCTTTTTAAAACAGTAACATCTATAAAAATAAATAAGAAAAATAATAATAATAAATAAGAAAAAAATGTACCAAGTATCTAACTATAAAATCTAAAACATATAAAAATTATATTAAAAAAAAGGTGAATTAAAAAAATAAAAAATCCACTACCCCGAGACTCGAAGTCGGACTTTGCGAATGGCGCGACAGCGCCTTGTCCACTCGACCACTGCAACTGTTGAAGCGACCAACACAGGTCGGATTCACTAAATCTGCGGGACAAAATGTAAAAATCAAAGTCATGCGAATAGCGTCCAAATATCATGGCTTGCTTCTTAATACAATAGATAATTGTAACAAATTTTTTGCTTTAATGTTGAATAAATGAATTTTATATCGCTCTGTAAGCTCAGCACGAAAAGTTGGACTTGAAATTACTTTATTTTAATATTTAAATAGAAAAAAAACTAAATTGTTCCTGAGTTTTGATTTGAAATTCATAAAATTTTTTCTGCTTTAAGGTACAATAAGCTATTTTTACGCGCTTTTGCGACACCCATACAATTATTTTCACTTTTCAGAAACCCCAGAGTAACAAGTTTCAAGCGAATTAAATAAATTTTAGACAATTTTTCCGCCATATTGAATTCTTGAAACCTGAGTGAAGATTTGTAATCAGTGGCCCCATAAACTAGTAGGTACGAAGTGGTGTACAAATCCATCAATGCCAATCTATTAAGTCCTGCTAGATTCCGTATTCAGACTGTTCACTGTGCGACGTGAGCTATATGGTAATAAGTGCTTTCTCTCAATATACATACATACCTTTTCATCACGAGGGGTAAATGAGAAAGCTTTTTTTCTAAGATATTGGTGCTATAATAACAATAGGCTTACAAACTCTCTTGTCATCTGTCCATCATTTGCCATAGGAAAGACTTTTTACTAGCTGAGCGAGAATTGCCCTATGAGATTATTATGCAGAAAAGTACTCCTATAATATGGGGGGGGACACACAACTTTTTTATACTATTTTCAGTCTATAAAATTTTGTTAAACAAATTTATCAAGTTATTCTTACTTTCTCTTTTATTTCAGGGACTTAATTGACCAAACACTCAACTAACTTCGGCCTATTTAATAAAAGCAATAAAAAAACAAAAATACAGCAATACTTTTGGCTACCTGTTATTTTCATCAACAGCTAATTTTCAAAGTTTTCCAACACCACAATCACACAGTAAAATCCTTGTGACATTTACCACTTCATAATAAATACATATCCAGTAATTTGCATTTAAAAACCAACTACCTAACTCACAAAGGTTAAAGGAGCAGACTTTTCTTGATCATTCACCACTGAAGCCAAATTCACATCGTACACATTGTACAGCTAGCGTCTGAAACGCCTCCTCCGATGAGCACTACGGTCGTTTTGCCAGTCAAAGTGGCCACAGAAACGCTATACCCCCACCACCGCCACCACCAACGCGCAAGTGTCAACGTTGTCCACGCAGTTGGAGCAACAGCCGTCAAGATCGACACGCACAGCCGCAGCTTCGGACATTCGTACGCCGCACGCGCCGACCTAAATTATTTCCTCGTGTAAATCCTTCACATCAGCTAGTATTGCAACCAGCCAATTTTTGTGTGAAATCCATCTTAACCCTACGTAATCTGTATTAAAACTGTAAAAACGAAGAGGCTTATATCTTAAAACGTATCGTCGCACTTAACGCGCACACCAAACACCAATCTCGTAGCAGCAGCGTTCCGCGCGCTTGAAAAGTTTTTTTTCTCGCTTTCGTATCTCGTAAACTTCAAAACGGCGGGAACAATGCTTAAAGTTGTTGGTGCATCGTGGCAGAAAACGCGGATAGGGACTTACATCCTTATCGGTGCTGGTTTACTTGTGATAGGAGCTTTCTTCATCAGTTACATGGATCGGCCGAAATATAATGGCACCTACTGTGCCACTGCGTTTTGGTCGAAGCAGACTGGATTTCACATTGAATACTGGAAACAGCAAAATGATCTTCTCAACATTCCAAAAGGTGCTGCTAGAGTATGCTACAAGGATTCCATCTATGAAAATGGGTAAGTGTATTTTTTTCAAAAGTTCTGCATTCAACACAGGTTAGTTGATAAAAATCCCCGCCAAGAAGTTATTATGTATACGATTTTCACGGTTAGCTTTCCTATATGGGCCCACCGTCCCGGCTAAGGGGGAGGTAGTGCCGCTTAGTGTTTATAACCCTTACTAAGTAGAATTTTGCTTTCTGTGTTGTCGGAGCCGTCTTCTGTTGTCAATGGTATATAGAATTACTGTGCAAATGAGTACTCAGCCTTTGTTTTGCCATTTTTCTAAGGGCTCCCTAGTGACCCATAAGGAGCCATGGCGGTCGGGGGTTGCACTTTAGCGAACGGTGGTCAATACCCTCTCAAAAAGTGGTGGTACGTGCCGCGCTCTTTTTTCTCCTCCGGCCACCGCCCTTTTAGGAAAGTTTCTCCGATTTTCAAGCTAAAAAATTTCTTCTTGTCGCCACACCCAGGTCTTCTGTAGAAAAATTGAGCGTTATTGCCTTTTACTTTTGGCTTAATAAAAGAGGTTCGATTCACAGATTAATAGATGACAATGCCACGTAGTTTTTTTCCTCCACAGCTAGGAAGTTTGAAACATGTCTATGATGGAGCCGTAACCGCCAAAACACCTAAGCGAATTTTTTTTCTAATTTCTAGGCGGTTAGGCCGATATGTATGTATATTAGGGTGGTAAAAAAAGTTTAGAATGTGAAGCTCTCACCATTAGGAGTTTTCTAAATGAAAAAATAAATTTTGTAAAAAAAAAAATAGTTTAGAACTGCCTCAAAGCCCATGAAGTTTTTCATGTATTATATGTATGGAGAAAACACACTTTTTCGTTGAAATGGTATGAAATTCCGGAAATCCATATTTTTTGATCGGAAAAGTCTGTGTCTCTTCAGGTGACTTCCAATTGTTTACTTTTTTTTAATATAAACGATTTTTTATGGTTCCCCCAATTGCACTTTTTGGGGTTTATGGGAACTTATAAAAATAGTTAATACTAAAAAATGGTTAAATAGGCAATTCGGTAAGGTCTTATTGGAAGTCTCCAAATGAAAAAATATTGATTTTCAAGAATTCAAAAACTTTTGCTTTTAAGTAGTTCCCAAAAAAGCTAGCTTTTGTTTTCAAACCGCTTTTTTTGGCAAATTTTTACCGAAATTTAGCTTGAAGGTCGGCTCTATAGATTCAGGATTTACCCATTAATCTCTGAAGCTACGAAAGGTAGCTCTTAAGAAAAATAATGTGTCTATTACTCTGCCACTATTGAAAGACTGTTCTTTGATACCCAATTGCTTCGCTGAATATTTTTGTATAAAATCGATTTTTTTTTGTTTTAATTTTTTTCATGCTGCAGTTGGGCGCAAATCGAGGTGGAAACTCAACGTACCTACCCGGACTGGGTACAGGCTTTCGGTGCTGGCATACTTGAGGGCTCATTGACCTGGAATAATATCTACAATCAATGGAAAAAGTAAGTTAAATCAATGATAATTTCAGCTGCGTTGCAAAATCATATCCGCACATTCTAACGACCTTCTTTTATTTTCCTCTCTACAGCACCATCGAATCTTCCTGTGAGCGTGATGAGAGTTCGCAAAACTTCTGTACCTGGCTGCGTGATCTGCTTGACGAGAATTACATTCGCATCAAAGAGACAGCGGTACAGCGTGGCGAGCACGATCACTATTGGCATCAGATCAGCCTCTACTTTAGTCAATTGGAGGGTCTGGAAACAGGCTATATACGCGGCGCGTCTCGTGCACGTTCAGATCTCGAAGAGGAAATACCTTTTTCCGATTTTCTTCTCCTAAATGCCGCCGCTGACATTCAGGACCTTAAAATCTACTATGAGAACTTTGTATGGAAGGAGGGGAATGAAACAGCCGATGTGGGCACACAGGACCAAGGCACAGCTGTGACTGCGACTTCGGAAGCGGAAACAGGACCAAAGAACTTCTTTCTGCCAAGCGCCACAATGCTGACAAAGATATTTCAAACTGCCGATTCGCCAACATGGAGATTGCTTTTTGGTCACAGCACTGCCGGCAGTTATGCCTCAATGTTGCGCATACAAAAGCGTTACAAATTCCACTATCACTTCTCGCCGAATCAACGCTCGAATACAGTGCCTGGCGTCGATATAACATTTACCGGCTATCCAGGCATACTCGGCTCTACAGATGATTTCTACATCGTAAAGGGTCGACAGGTGCAGTCCATTGTGGGCGGCGTGGGTATAAAGAACGAGAATCTGGATTTGTGGAGGACAGTTAACGTTACGCAGGCATTGCCGCTGGCAGCACGGGTCATGGCAGCAAATCGTATAGCGCAGAATCGTCGCACATGGGCAAAGGCAATGTCGCGTCACCCATTCACTGGCTGTAAACAGTGGATAACGGTCGACTTGAACAAATTGCGTCCACAAGACAACCTATATGTGTCGCTGGCTGAGGATGAGAAGCACGATGATGCTGCATTGCCGTTGAATGCTGCGGATGAGGCAGCCATAAATGAGCGTCATAACCGCAATAAGGGATTGGTGTGGATTGTGGAACAACTGCCGGGTCGCATGCATCTCAAAGATGTTTCGGAAAAATTCCTATCGGGCGAAAACTCGACGTGGATTGCGAATGGTGTGCCATACTTCGATGAGATGCTGCAGGCCAGTGGCGTAGCGCCCGATAGTGCCTACCTTGAAATGAAAGCTGCGTTCGACGATGAACTAACCAATCTCGAAGCGGTCGATCAGTTTATGCGCAATCATGGCTTCCGAGGCGATTTGATGGGCGAGGAGTCGGTTGCTTACGGCAATATTGATATCAAATTGTTCTCCTACAATGCGCAAATAGGCATTAGCGACTATCATGCTTTCGCCGGACCCATATTCATTCGGCTGCAACATGTGCAACCGCGAGAAGCGATTGAGAGTGAGAGTACCGTGAGCGAGTCAACGGATATCGCATCCAATTTGAAGGATGAACGCTTGAGTGTGAGCATTGATGATGCGGCGCAACTTGCCGAACTGGAGCGTATTACCGAACGGCGATCTGTACGCAACGATATGCAAGCGATTGCAATGCGGCAGGTATCTAATGGCCCGTTCAAGTGGTCTGAAATTGCGGATCGCATAACGGACATTGAACATAAAGGACATCCGGATGAATTCAATTTCGGCAAAGTAGCTCCTCATTGGGCGTGGTAAAGAGAGGCGTGGCGGTGTGGTGGTTGTCTTAACGACCTCGCGGCCATTTAAATATATAGTAAAAATATTTTAATTTAATTTCACAAACATTTGTACATATATTACATAATAATTTGTCGAGTGGATTTTTGAGCTATACACATACCTACATAAGTATGAATTTTTGCATGCAACTCCAAAATTAGAAAACACATAAATTTTTTGTTAGTAAATTTTATGATTTGTAAATAATTCGTATCAATTGCGTGTAGAAAAAGTTGTGATTTTAAGTCGATTGTGCAAAAATGTTGCTATTTTGTATTAGATAAAAGTGAATTGTAGAAATTTTATAAACTTTATACGTCCATAGCTTTAAAAAACTACAAAAATTTAATAAAGAAATTACATACATATGAACACTAGTCTTCCATAGTTTTATCTCCATTTTTGGACTACTGTATGAACATACATACATACATACATATATAAGTAAAAGATATGTGTATCGTGCTGGTTTGAGATTTCTAACTTTTATACAGAGCAATTGTGAGAATAAAAAATATTAAAAAACAGAAAACTTGATGTATTTTGTTTCATTAACTTTTATCTGACAACTTTCCGTCAAGAAGGATAATCATCGTCATCGTCGACGATCGTCACTTTTACTGACGATGACGATGTTCAACATAGGGCGGAGTAGCTGGCCTGACAGCAATTGTAAACGTTGATCTGATAAACAGCATAACGTGGCGACCTGTGTTGACTCTAGCATCAGACCCTCTGCCCATAGTGATCTCAATTAATAAACCCGGTGACTTTGCTTCCGCAAACCTATGTACAATCAACTTTTCCAAAGATGACTGCAACGGCTTCGCGAAAGTTACTGAAATCACTCTCTCTGACCTCCCCACACTAACCGACGCGTACATAGGTGATCGTAGGTTACGCAAGGTTATAACTGCTGCTGCAGCACGCTTCATTATAGCTAAGTGTATTTAGCATCCCCGTCTAAATTTTCCCGCCGAGGCGGCTGTCCTAGCTGATGAGCGTGATAACCTTCTGCCTGCTAGCGACTTGAGAACCTTGTTGCTGCTCTGTACTCTATTAAAAATTGCGGTTGTTTGCGCCGAGGAGACAGGCTATCATATGTATGTAGCTCCCACAATTTTTGGGTTATTCACCGTCCAAATTTGTACGCTATGAACGTGAATTCCCAGCTGTAGCCTGATCTCCTTCGTCCAGTTGGTAAAAAGGCTTGTCGAGGATTTTGTAGGTGAGAGGGTTGGCTCCTTGCAGTGAAGAAGCGAGAAAGTAAGGAGAGATACCCGTTTACTTCCGAACACAAGTCATCAATTCCATTCCCAGTCGAGGAAAGGAGACCGCCTAGTGGGACACCCTGTTTAATTTTTCTTGGCTTGCTAGTTTTGTCACTGAAAATTCCTGACGAATGTCGACCACTCAGATAATTCGCTGACCACCGTTTGAGTCCATGTGGGAGAGAGGAAGCCTCAATGTCTTCCAGTAGTGTGGAATGGCTGACGGTATCAAACGCCTTTGACAGATACAACGCTACTTGGGCTGTGCAATTTACGGGACCCATGCTGATGCCTCTTTGGGGTCAGGTGGTTTGTATCGTGTGCTTATACTCTCGGATTTGCATATTCGCTACATTTGCAAATTCACAACAATAAAATGCACACGGTTGCCATGGCAGCAAGCACAAGATTTACAAATGCAATTCCAACTGCAAATCTAAGACCATTTCCACAACATCCGGAACAGCCCTTATGTGTTTAATAAAAGATGAAATAAATAAATAAAGACAACTCTATGTGACATGTGACCACTAGGATGGTCCAAAATAAGTAAGGTCGGAATTTTAATGCTCTCACTCTCTCCCTATATAAAAAAAGAATTTAAAATTTTTACTTTGAAATCAAAAAATATTTAGAGGTGGCTCAAAGCGCTAAAAGTTTTCCATGTGTTTCAAATGAAAAAAAAATCTGAAATTTTAAGAAAACTCATTTGGGTAGGTTTTATGTTAACAAGTTAAATTAAATATTTAATTGATTATTAAAAAAATTATTTCAAAAATCAATTTAATTAACAATTTAAATCAAATATTTTAATGCCGTTATCAAACGAAAGAGGTGTTAGGAAAGCTGTATATACCATTGACCAGTGTTGCCACCAACTCAGGAATTTAATATCAATTTGACTGATTAAATGAAAGCTATCAGCTATCGAAATATGTCTAAGACGGGTCCCGACTTTTTGCACCTATTTGTATGATCAGCGTGAATGTGTTAGTTGACGCAGCGCCCTTAAAAGTAAAAATGTAATGTTAAAGTTTTGTAAAATGGGGTTTTCTTCTACAGGTGAGTTCTGTATAAGGTGCAATTTAAAAATTTCTCAATACGTTCAACTGATTAGAATTTATTGAAATATTCAAGTGAGTTTTTTTAATAAAGAAAATTTAAAGAAAACGTCATGTAACTTTCACCAATAAAAAATTAATGTTTATTTCAACATGCATAACTACATATATTCAAAACTATAATACTAAGCATTGAATCCGGCCGCGATTTTTATTTATTTCAGTTTTATTTTTTTATTTTATCATATATTTTAGTATAATCATTTCGGCTTCTCGGCAACACTGAAGTTTATGAAGTCGTTTGCGCATCAAATTTGCCTCGTAAATTTACGAGGGGCTCGTAAATAGAGCTCCATACAAATTTTAACTGTTATTTTATGAGGCTCGTACATTTACGATGTTTACGAGGCTTTTACGAGTTTAAGGGAATACCTCTACTATAATTCCCTAGCTTTCGGTATTTTGAAAAAATTTAAATTATTGCGTTTAAGACTTTAGATGCCATATTGTGTCGGCCATTTTGTTAATTTGACATCAGATTCGAATTCAGCGACCTTAAAAATCCCTGTAAACCAGAATTCATGGGAATGTACTCAGTTTCCGAATTATGAGCAAGTTAAAGCATACTTCTTTTAATAAATTAAAAAAAAAAAACTTATAATAAAGTATGTACTTGAATGCATAAAGTAGATAAATAAGTTAAGCTGCCTGCCTACACTACTGTGCAATAAACGTAACGGCATTTTCTCATTCCTACAAAATTTTCGAACGTCCGGTCATGCGTCGCGCCATCTAGTGGCGATAGTTCGTAAAGTCAATTCAGCATTGCCAACTCAAAATACAGCGCTCTCGGTTTTTCATTTCTTCGTTTGTTTACATGACTTTGTTGTTGCTATTTTCTCTAACATTCGCTATCCGCTACTCATTCGCACTTTTTCGGCTTCGTTGTTTTGTATGGCCATTCGCTTTTTTCTTATCATTGCTAGCGCTGCCGGCAGAGGCGCCGCCTTGCGTGTTGCGTTGTTATCGTTTCTACGTAGAGTAGCTTCGACTTGGACTAATTGGAAATTTTTCCGGATGCTGACACTTGTGAAAGTTTAATAAGAATTTGTTTTCGTTGCAATTGTTCATGGTTTCATTTTTAATTGGCAAGCAAATATTAAATAAATAGTACCGTTGTATGCACAAAATATACGGAAGAATATATCCATATTTGCAAAACACTCCCAACAAGTTGCTCTCTTTTGCAACCCTGACCATTCGCAGTTTTTGTCTTTGCTTTGTGTTCTTTGCATGTCTGTCTCTCTATCTACATTGTTCGATGCTTTTTTAATTAATTGCAAATTACTAAGCAGAAGCAGAGAAAATTTCGCGAATCCAAATCGCATTTATTTCAGAAGTTTGTGCAAAATCTTGTATTCTATACTCGAAAGTGTTTAATATATTGTGCGAGGAGAGCAATAATTTTGAAACATACCTAAAACAAAGAAAATTCGACCGCGAAAAACAGAAATTATTGAGTAGTGCAAATTGCTGGCGAAAACTTCACAAAGGCAAACCGAAATTGTATAACAAAGCAGAAGAAGTTGGAGAAAGAAGAACTTAGGGTTTGAATATTCTAGTATGTTTAATATATGTATATTGTGGAAGTCCCCAATTGCAAAAGGAAAAACTTTTGTTTAAATAAATAGGAAATAATAGCGGTATTGCGCGTACCAAATGGCCATTAAATGGCCGCTGAAGTGGTTGTAGAGAAGCAAAATCTAATTGGAAAACACTGCCAGGAAATACGAGTGTTTGGTAATCTAAATGCTGCAGCCATGGTTAATTTGTGTGTGCAGGGTGCGCGGCAAGCGGAAGTTGACTGCTGGCTTGGGACAGACGCATCAAGAAGGAAGTGAAATACATATGTTTTCTTCACTTTTTGACCATGCAAATTATTGAAATATAAAATAAAAACAAAACATTTGTAAGCCCCCCCTTTTGGGCTGTGGTTAGACAAGAATGAAGAAAATATCCACTGGACGCAGTGCATATGCACGCCCAATATGCTTACCAGCCGGCTGTCTGCTACATTAAGCGACAATAGATAACACACTTGTCTACACACATACGCATGCAGCTTGGTCATTGCCATTTGGCGGACACTGTGCTATCGAAGATTTGTACATTACTATAATTGTAATTTTTATGCCAAGTTTTTCCCTAGTAAACCAAGGCGATTTTAAATTTTTTTTAGTTTTCTTTTAAAAGTCTTTTAAATTTAATATGCAAGCCTAGTGTACAGGCGTCTGAAGAGCTTGTTTGTGTGGCCGCCGTTTTACAAACATACAACTGCATACATAGACTACATACACATTTGTCAGCCCACTTCCTCTTATTGAGGAAAATACATGTTGGCTGCATCTATTTTAAGCCTTCACATGGGTACAAAGAGCTGCAACAGCTGCGAGGCAGTCAGCGTTGTCTGCAACACCATCACTGTCCACTCGATTAGTGGAGTCTGTTTTATTTTTGCTTCTGAGTTGGCTGCTCATTTGGTGTGTATGTACATACATATGTAGCTTGGGTGTAGACAGAAAGCTGGGAATTAAATGCAATAATGGTCACTTTTAATAAATCAGTCTGCTTCAGCGGCGCATACCTACATATGTATCTATGTATGTGCAGTCATGTGAAAAATAATAGGCGCGCACAAGGCTTATTAAACAGGTAGTAGCATTAGAGCAACAATAACAACCTTTACGTGTATTTTTTTGTTGCTTATGGTCTTTAAAGTGTCAAACAATATTGTTTTTTTTCAAACATATCATAGTAGGCATTGTGAAATATCAAAAAAAAAAAATTATTTAAATTCAAAAACAAAAATTTGTGCGACTTTTTTTTTTTGTAAATTTGTTTCTTTCCAGTAGCACTAATCCATTCTTTGCAGGGCCCAATAATCAGCGTTTGTCCACCTGAGTTAAGCGAACGTTCAAAAAGATGATTTTCAATAGCTTCCTTTTATGCAAAAAGTTTCAGATGAAAACACATTTTGGTAGGTAATTAAGAATTTTTGTGAAAAAATAATAATATTGCTTGACACTTTAGAGGATAAATAATTAAACAAAAATCAAATCACTACTACCTGTTCAACTTACATAGTTGGGCACTCAACATTTTGACCAGTTTTGGTTATTTTTCTTCTGTTTGTTTAATGTTTAATTTTTTTTTATAAAAGTACAATACATTATCTAACAAAAATCATGTGAGTCCAAAATTCAAACTTTGTAGAAAAATAAGAAAAATTCAACAAACTAAAAATTTTCAGAAAAATTCTAGCTTGCAAGCTTCTAGGTGCAAGTTTCAAGTAGTTTAAAACTCGCTTTATTTTTTTGCCTATTATTTTCTTCTATACAAAAAAAATTGTCGAACATAGTATTTGTATTAAAAAAATGCATGACACCGTGAGCAAAAAAAGCTAGAATTGAATGGGCTATAAAACTACATTCCTAGAATTTTTCTAAAAAATTCCTAATAAAAAAGGTGTAAAATTTTTTTGGAATTTTCTAGTTCTTCTACAAAACTTGAAAGTTAGGTTTGTATGGTTTGTGTGTTAGATAATGAGTTGCATTTAAAAAAAAAAAATTAAAAACATTAAAAATTTTTCACATGACTGTATATACTATCTACTTGCACTTATGTATAAAATTGCATATCTAGAAGATGACTTTCCTTTTTCATTACAGACACTGCTAAAATTATATATTCTTATTGCAGTTATCTTGCATTTGGACCTATCTTGCATAGTTACAAATTCAAAAATATTGCGTGGTGCAAAAGCTTAATAAAAGCAACTAAAAACTTCCATAACTTAGCAAACAAGTACTTTACTTGCTCAAATTACAGCAAATATCTACCGGCAGGAAACATTTTATAAAACAAATAAATACATACATACATATTTATGCAATTGCAAAAAAATTTAAGTAAATGTTAGAGTGAACTGAAATTTTTGGGCGTAAAAACCGGAACTGCAGACTGTTTCGTGTGCCTTTAATAGAAGGAATGAGTGAAATTTTCCAATAAATAAAAAAAAAATCATTAAAATATCTGTAAACTCATATGTATCTACATTAGTATATACTAATTCAGTGTTTATAAATTGAACTGCAAAGTATTTACCAAGCGCACTTCAAATCTTTTTGTAGTCTACGCCAACGATTTTTTGTGTAATTGGCTATTTTTAGCATATCGATGTGCCGAAAGTGCATTAATGCTTCCCAGTAGTTAAAAGAAAAAATAACGCAAAAATATCGAAATAATACGCAAGCAATAAATGTAAAAGTCTTGTCCGGAACTGATTGCTATTGTCGCCAAAGGCTTATTCCGCAAAACAATAAGTATTTCAACAACAAAAAAAAAATATAAAAAATAAAAAGACTGTGGAAAATTCAAATTAAAGTGCTTAGTTGCGTCACATGTGCCCGTATATATGTAATTTTCTCCTCGACTAAAACGATCCAACAGTAGCTTCCAACCCCTTCTAAAAACATATGCGTATTGTGTTCTCGTTTTACATACCTATGAACATACAAACAACAAATTAACGCAACGCTATCACATAATCAACGCCAACATACCTAAATACATTTACATACATAAATATATAACCATACTTTTATGCAATAAATATTGAATGCAATTGTAGCGTATTGGAATTTGGAATAAAAAGCCAGCATACTCCTTTGTGTAAAGTGAAAGCAAAAAAAAAAAACAAAAAATAAAAATAAATCCATACCTAATATAAATATAAAACACCTGTGAATTGCTCAAAGTGTGTTTTTCGGAATAAAATATTAACACATCGTTGGTGCCATACAAACATACATACGCTCCAACAAATAGTCTAAAATAGGTATGTACTTGCTTATTGCAGTTAATTTGCCGAAAGCCGCAAAGTGTCCAGCAAAGTAAAGTGCCAAGTAAAGATAGTGGAGAAAACAAAAGTGCTAAAAAGCGTACGTCTAGAAACAGAGAAGAACTGATAAGAGAATAAATAGCAGAAGCCTCAGCCCCATTAGCTGTGCGAAAGTGCCAACAAAACAGGAGAAGCAAATAAAAACAAAAAGACGAAATAAAGAAAACAGCAAAGCAAAGATACATAAATAAGTAAATATTCGGTGAGAAATAGCGCGTTGATTGGCGGAAGCAAACAAACAAATTCTGAAAGAGCTGAAATACAAAGTGGCATGTGAATGCATCACGCTAAACACGAGACACTGGAATTTAAATAAAGTAGCAGGAAAAAACGGAAAAAAAAAAAAAAAAAAATATTAATATAATATAAGGACCAAACATAGAAAGAAAGAGTGAAGAATTGCTAAAATAAAAGCTAAATTTAAAAATAAATCAAAGTCATAAGTAGCAAATACTTAAGTGAAAAGCTAGAAGTACAATCTATGTACAATAAAAAGTGTGTGCAACATGAAGTGTTGAAAAATAAAATTGAAAACCGCAATTTTTGAAAATAGTATAAAACTATTCAAAAAAAAAAAGTTGAAATTGCAGAAACTCAAATCGAGTGCTCTCTACAATACATTAATTGATTATTTTGCAAAAATAAAACAAAAGTGATTGCCCCATAAAAGTACTTAGTGCGTTTACATTGTGCTGCCAGACGAAATTTGAAGCAAGAATTTGTAAGCACAGAAGGAAATCCTACATATACATATCTACAACTCTTAAATATATTATATTGGTTTGACGTAAACGCAAAAAATAAAATTCTTCCAAGTATTGAATAAATAAAATAAGAAGTGCAGTTTCTAAAAAATAATACAACAAGCTAAGAAAAAAAACGGCAGTATAAGTAAAATATTAATAAACATTTTCTAAAGGCAGAAAACAGTTGAAAATCATCGATACATAAAGTTGCAAGTCAAATAATACATACATAGTGCATACTCGAATTTCCCAGAGTGTACAAAAAAGTGAAATATTTTTCTTGAATAAGCCATTTAGTGTTCTCTGAATCTAAACAAATTTACATTTGAAAACTTTGATCATCTGAAACTTGTATTGCCGCAGAAGCCAGCGTTCCAATTGTGGTGAGTTTTATAACTGTAATTTCCTTAAATTTTCTTGTCGTGTTGTTTATAGTTATGTGACCTGGTCTACGGAAAGGGGGTTAGGTGTCAAAAAATCAATTTTCACTTTTTGGTTGATTCGGATGGAAGATGAGATGCTTTTTCACGTGGTGAAAAGCAGAAAATCCTAACTTGCTTAGAAGTGTACTAAAAATGTAGAAACAGAAACAGTAAACGTCACTTCTTCAGTGTTACTTTTTTAAATGTTCCACACTAGCAACTTACACGATGAACTATAATAATATTCCGACCAACAACAACACTTACTGGACCAACAACAACACTTACTGGACCAACAACAACACTTACTGGACGTCCGGCGCGGAGAACAATTAACGAGATAATGAGAAACTGACGAAACGAGTTGCTTACTTTTAACAGCTTTTTCACAGAAAACTAGTTTTCGCACGTAAGCTCCCTTTTCGTAGACCAGGTCACATATATATTTTTTTTATTGTAGTAAGTAGTTGTAGATCTCGACTTTTGCTACTTTTCATTTTCAAACGAAGAAAAGATCTCAAACGATATCGATACCTGTGTGGAAGATCGACCTATCTCGGCAGCCAGTTCGAAAACGCCCTATCTCAGAAAATTTTTCAAGAACGCCCTATTTTATTGAAAACCCCTCTATCTCAGAATTTGTTCGAAGAACGTCCTATCTCGGAATTCGGTTCAAAAACGCCCTATCTCAAACGGAAATGTATTGAGATAGAGCGTTCTTCAATAACATTTTGATATAGGGCTTTTTTCAACCAAATTCTGAAATAGGGCTGGATCCCAGTTAGGTCGATCTTCCATTCAGGTTTCAATGTACAGTGACTTAAACAAGTGCTCACCTCTTTTTTATATACACAATAATTTTCTTGCTAAAATATTTTCATTTTCTTTTTAAATATTGTACACCAAAACCTCATAAATCAAAGTTTCAAATCTTATACAGAATTTAGAAAATTTCAAGACATTTTCATAAAATTTTTTGGAGTGCAGTTTTATTGCGCATCCAATCAACCGGCTAAAAAATCGCGTTAATTTGTAATATTTTTTTTTTTTTGCTGACGGCGTTTTGCACTTTTTCCATAAAAACATGAATTTTTAATAGAATAAATATTTCAAACAATCAAGTTTTTATAAATGCAGTTTTTATATGAAAAAAAACCATAACCCCGCTGGTAAATACTTAGATGCTTTAACCATGCACTTTGTTGTACTAAATTTATGTGTTGTAAAACTGCATACACAATAGCTTTATGGAGATTACACCGTGCGACAAAAACCAAAAATTTTTAAAACACACGAAAAAATCAATATATTCACAAAAATAGGGGCGTTTTTAATTTTTCTCTCTGACGTATTTTTTTTTTTAAGGACTGAAATTTCTGGGATATGATTGAATAAACAAATTATTTAAAAGATTTGGTGCATTGTAGAGTAACAATATGGGTACCAATTAAAAGGAAAAATTCTGTAGCTTAAAAAAATGAATTTTTTGGTACAACAGGACAAATAAGTGTTGAAAATTTCCTTTTAAAACCTTATTCTTGAATATCCTTGGAAATTTCCAATATTTATTTAAAAAAAATATATATATCAACTACCACATCTTCGAATTTCGTCCTTCTACCTTTATTAGTTTTAGGTAAAAAAAATTTACACTTCTCTTATAAGATATTGGTAAATAGTTACAATATACATAAATGAAGATACTGGTATCATTACACTGTAAAGCAGTCGGCTGGGTATTGGACCCAACCAATTTTTTTAAGAGATTGAGTCATAGGTAAAAAAGTAATTTCTTCGTTTTTCGAAGTTAGCCTCCGAAATCGACATATGGGCCTTCGAAGTTCGAAATAGGATCTTTGGTAAAAAATTATTTATTTTTTATTCGTGTGTAAAATTGACTGTCGCAGGGTGTTATGATTAAAAAGTTCGAAACTTTAATTAATTAAATTTTTTTTGGTTCAGTTTGAAACTTAGATTCATAGGTATGGTTTTGGTTAAAGCATGAACAATTGTTTTATAGAAAAAAAAACAAAAAAATTTAACTTAAACAATGTGAATATAAAAATATCAACATGTGATTTTTTATTTGAGTCACTGTATGCCTTCAAAAACTCTTTCATGGAACTATCGTGATAACGAAGTGATGTACTTTTGGAAGCCCCTGAGTGCTCGAAAAGCGGTAAACTCATGGACTTTCATTTGTTTTATACATAGTTTTTTATAAGAAATTTTAAGAATTTAATTGCTATATGTAACTTTGATAGTTTTAGAAATATTCAAGTTTGAAATAAACTAAAAATTAAAATACAGTCAAAACTCAATAATCCGAACTTATGATTGCAGAGCCGATTCGAATTAAAAAAAAAAAAAAAAACATTTAATTTATGGCAAATTTATAAAATGACATATTAAAGTTAATGCAACAACTTAGAAAAAATTATTATAAATTGTTCGTCTGATGTTTCTCAGCACACCACATAAACTGATAAATATTCACACTCTCACTGAATTGCGAATTTTACTGTAATAGTTTGTTACATTCCCATTACAAATTTACTAAAAACATGAGCAAGGCATCCTATTCGTATAAGATGGCGCAAAATTAATCACCTCTCTTCTGTATCACTTTTTTCTTTGAGATTACTTGAAGTCGCGGGTTTATGCCAACAAACCTCAGGCAATTGCGGCCCTAAAAGAGAATATTCAACAGCGAACAGTTATCACCGGAAATCTTGCGCAAACTCATGGAAAATGCGATAAATTGGGCACAATTGGGATATAATCTTTTCCATTTAACAGAAAAAATTGTAAAAGTTCAAATAAAGATTTCCATCACTCGAATCATTTTTTTTATTTAGTAAAAAAGTTATTCAAACTGAACGATTAATTTTGAGCCACCTGTATTATAGAATAGTGTGGAACAGCCGTTCGGATTATCGAACAGTCAGACCATCGAGTTTCGACTTCATTTGGGAAAAAAATGTTTAATTAAAATTGGCTCCAGTTGGTCTCTATACTAAAATTTTTTAATATTAATTGAGTTAAAGGTTATTTAATATTTTCTATAAAATTTTGGAATATCCAATCCTCTGTTGATTTTTTCACGTTGCCTTGAGTTTTTATATCGGGACATGTAATCGTCATTCTTTCTTTTTCCAAAAAAGTAGCATAATGAATTGGCATATTCTGCTCTACGAGGATGTGCTATGGTGGCTAAGTCTCTCCAGAAGCACATAAAAGGTGCAAAGAACTACCATGCTCTGCATCTGCGGTATATAATTTCTTTTCCAGATAGAAAACTTTGGTCAGCAGGGGCTCCTGATGAAAAGTGATGGCTCTTCTTCCCCATCGATGGCTTTAAAGCAGCGATGGGCAGAGAGAGCTTTAACTCTGCACGCGCCTATACAAAATGCATAGAAAGCTTAAAAGAGTGAGCTGGATAAATCATTTCGCCTACCCGACTATTGCAGCGTCTTTCCAGCTGAAGTCGCTGACCTAAAGGTGGCGGTTGAACACTTACGTAACATTAGCTTCATCTACTCAGACAGTCAGGCGGCACTTAAAGCGCTTGACTGGGTCACATGCACTTATGTAATTCAGGAATCGTAGCGGACAGAACAAACTCGGAAAAGAAAAGGTGGACCAACGTGCAAAATAGGGCACATCAGTTCCACTTTCGCAATACTGGAAGGGTTTAGGCATGCGTGGGCTTTGTAATTCTTCTTCACAACTATTACCGGCGAACTCCATGGACTGGATGATGGTTTAATCACACCGCCTTCTCCCATTTCTTTTATGATCTCGCTAAGAGCTTCACATTTGGCACTTTGAACACTCCGAGGAGGTTGGCGGATCGGCCTTGCATTTTTAATATTAATGCGATGTTTCAAATGGTTAGTTCGTTCTGATTTGTTACCATCCTTGTTGAATATGCTGGGGTATTTGCGGAGAAGTTTCTTACCATTATGCTGGTATTTTTCTTTCATTCATTCGGTCCATGAGATGGTGTCTTCCGAAATTTATTTCTGGCCTTTGGAATCGCTTTAAAGTACTCTAACGGGAATTGCGTCGCAGACAAGGGTTTTCCAACAAGTAGATATCACATCCATTTAAAATTTCGGTTTGCTTCAGAAACCCACAAATTTTTTGTTC